CTCCTTCATAAACCTTTGGAAATTAATTCTGCTTATGTCCTTCTAGGGTTCTGGAAGTGGAATATGCAGAGAGTGGCATCAAGGACTGGCAAATCACACTGTTCTTTGTGTGTTGGAATCTAAAAGACAGTTATATCTAGATGACAAAAATGCACAAAAACCTGGGACTGCTAAAAGATACAGTAAACAGGCTATGTTATTTTCAAACCTCATAGGACAACATGTTAGCATTCTTATAAGAGGAGAAACAAAATGATGTAATTAAATATGAGATTCTCCAACAAGATTTGTGGCCCCTCAGAGAACAGATGACAATGCCATTAGCTGGAGTGATACTGCAAATTGGAAGAAAGGCAACAAGTACCAATTAGTCATGCACCACTTCAGCATGTTTCATTGCTCTTAATTCATTTGAGTTTTGCTCACTGATTGTACTAATCCACCAAAAGACAGAGGGTTTTGGAAAGGATTTACAAAGTCTACAAGGAAATCTTCATTTCCAGCTCTCCCTGAGAAATGCATCTCACTGATGCGCTGTGTCTTCAGGAATTATGCCCACTAATTTGCTTAATCTATGCTAGTAAGGAAAAACTAACTTGATTTTAAGTTCCCTTATTAGCCTTACCTGTTCAAATAGTACATTCTTCCATCCAGAAATGTAGTCTGATTGGAAAAGAAGGAATTAGATAATTTGCCAAAAATTTCTTAATGACAGGTGACTGAGATCACCAGAGGCTGCAATGAGCCAGCAAGACCCTTAGGCATGCTGCTGCTATGCATGTGCACATCCTGCATATGGGATGCAGTGTGGACACACAGCAAGTCCCAAGTTTTAGGGCGTTGTAGCCCATCATGTGCATGAGACAAAATCCCTGTCTGTGGGCAGAATCACATGGCTCTCCTACATCTTCCCTGGATTCCTATATCACCAATCAGAAAATCAGGTAGTGTCCACACCACACAGTGCAATCATGGTTTTATGTCTGTGACAGCATTATCCTGGAGAAACATAGAATCTCCTGATTCTATGGTTCTGTGATCTTTCCAGTTAGGTCTGGATGTCTCCATCACAGATCTGGATCTGGGTTCTAACACTGGTCCAGAGGTCAGCATCCCAGACTGCCACGTTTAGTTACATGTGCTGCACAGACATGCTCCTGTTCCTGTGAGATGGCAGTGTGGTGCTTCGTAATTACAGTCAATGAATTGAAATACAGTTGTGTCTCCATCTAAAAATCAGTACCTTCATCTTTTCATCTTTTTTAAGGCTGGGTCCAGGAAGACCTGTGTAAAATTCTAATCATGGCTACATAGGAACTACTCTCATCTGTGATCTAAAAGTTATCTCAATTCAATGTCAGATACCCTAGCATGGGGCATGTCTGTCTCTTTTATGTCTGACATCAGGCGAGTCTTGTCTACACACCAAAAGAGATGGGTGTAACTTGGCTCTCCATGGAATGAAGGCAAGGGCTTTCTATCTGTGGCTTTCTGGTAAGTGAAGATCATGATAGTCCCATTTCAAAAATGGGACTTTTATTGATAATACTTTGCTTCTTTCAATTAGAGAGGGAATTTTGTCTCCTGAGTCGGGTTTGGGGTCTATCCATGGGGTTTTACAGAACTGATCCTGAGTAGTTTCAAAACCATTCCCAGATGCAGCAGGGGTTTTGGAGTTTGAGGACCTCCAGATTAATTTGTGTACTCAGTTCACTTCTGCTTAACCCCAGATTCACAGACTGTCACACCCCTGTTCAGAATAGGAGACCTTGTGCAGGAACTGCAAATCCCTGTTGAATAGAAACACGGTCCCTCTAATCCCTTAAGAAAATTTAAAACAATTTGCAACTGAAAGTGACCGTTCCTGCATTGTTTGTAACCACATTTGGTTAAACAGAAAACCACAGTCTTCACCCATGAATGACATCAGTGGCAGCAATTCTCAATCAAAAACTTCATTTGATTCCTCTGCTTCTAGGCTCTCTCAGTGTAAAACCAGTACAAACAGGGAACAGAAATGCTAGTCCAAACTGACCAGTCTCTTAGGAAACCACGTGTGAGTACAGTGCAAAGTGTTGCTGGAAAGAGACGTTTGGAGATCAAAGCACATGGGGCTCAGATAACGTTTCCCATTTGACCACTTTGTAGAAAGACAGTTTGCAGCACACAAGTATAAAAGAGCTTTGGATTCAGTCAAGCCCATATACCTGATACGGTGTCTTCAAGTGTGTCATTGCAACACCCCCATTGTGGTGGGGGACAGTCTTATTGCAGAAGGGGAAGAATCTAATGGTGAAGGTGCATATGCAAGATTGGCTCAGCCCCAAAGTGAATCCAAAAGTGAAGATACTGCCTAGATAAATACCTAAGTAAGGTTTACCTTAGGCAAATTTAGTACTCATTTGAGGCAGAATCAAAGAGTATGATCCTGGAGCTCCTATCTGTGAAATTAGCTGCAACGAGGCAGAGTGGAAGCCCACCAAGATGAGTGAGAGTTCAGTGGACTTTGGATTCTACCCCATATGAGCTAAAGGCAGCAGAAATGAGACTCAAAGCAGACCACTGGCCTTTGCCTGTACAGGAAAATTAGACAGGATCATTCTATTACTAATACAGTTGTAGTAACATGAAACACTATTTGAACACCTTTACTGAACTGCAGGTTTCCATGTGATGAATTAGAGGCCTAAACACAAACACTCAGATGGTGAAGGAAATGGCAGGAAGGGCTAATAACCCTGGCACATGGCTCAAAGCATGAGAAGGGCCACAGGCTCTCACCCACTGCCTCCAGTCCTCTTCCAAATCCCTACTGGATTTGAAGAGGTGTAAGTTACTGCCATAGTTTTACCAATAGTTTTTCACATGTATACAAACCCCTATGCAACACAAATCAATCTAATTTTAGGATTTAGCATTAAAACCATTTATCAATCTTAATTTGCCCATCGATCACACCTTAAATTCTGAGTTCACGGGCACACAGCTGTCAAAATGCTTCAAGAAATGTCAAAGGGAAGGGGAGAAAAGCAAGCCTCCTGATGTCAAGCAGGGCAACCACCGGCAGGGGAACCACTGCAGCTGCTTGTATGGAAGAGGTGCACTCAGAGCTCTGCATAAGTCCTGTATGTTCTGCCCTGAAGCAAAGATACAACCCAGGGCAGCTCTTTGCTCTTTTTCCTTCACATGACATCACTGTGGAATCCACAATATTCCTCAGGAAACTTGTCATGACAGGGTGCTCACAGGTTCTCAGAGCGGTGGCAGAGCAAGGAGGGTGGTGACGCAGGCTGGTGAGCATGAGCAGGCATGAAAGCAGCAGCAGCATACAGGTAGGAGAGCACGAGTAGAAGAACAGGCTGGGGGAGATATGAGAGCAATGGAGAAAGACTACCACACCAGAGAGGCTGGGGAGAGCAAGGGGTGGGATGAGAGAGCTGCAAAGAGGGCAAAGGAGCCTCTGGGTCATGATAGAGAGAAGGCAGCAAACCAGAAAGGGGAAACCATGTGTTCCCAAGGCATTCCTCTCTCTTCAGAGCTGAAGGAAAACTTGGGGAAAAACAGAGATCCAACAAGGGAGCAAAGAGCTAGAGTAACATGGAAAATCCAGGTAGGAAGAGAAAAATTTTACTGAAATGAGACAGTTTTCATGCAGTTTCTCATGGGAGTTTTTTGAGAATTAATAAAACCAGCCAAAGCATCACCAGACACTTAAAGCTCACAGGGTGAGCCAGCAAATATGCAGCTCACCTGAGGTCTCTCTGCCCTTGGTAGCACTGTGTTTTATTTTCACACAGCTAAACCATTCATGAACAATTTCTCCAATGCATTAAGCATAAACAAGGCCTCTTTTTGCATAGGTATGTATTTCTTCCTACTGCCGTGATTTCATCTCCTAAACCAAATATTTTTGTGTATGGAACCAACCAAAGAAAACAAGTTTGAGGCTTCCCGTTAATTACTGTGTTTCCCAGGACTTGTCCTGCAGTGTCTGGAGCTAGGGTCCCCTGCCACACATTTTATTTTGTGGAGTCTTTCCATTTTATGACTCTTTGGAGCAACTGGTTGTGTTTATTGATCTTTCCACACAGCTGTTCTTTTCCTGCAGGAACGCTGGGATGGATTTTCTGTGGTCTGATATGTGAGGCCCTGTGTGTCTCTGTTAAAGTGGGTCTGCTGATGTAGTAACAGGACTTGACAAGGCAGCAGCTTTTTAAGACTCAGAGTTTGTGGGTGTAAAGGAAGCAGAAAATGCTACACACTGGCTTCACTTTCACTGTAAAAAATGTGCTTGTGTGAAGAATTCCAAAATCCCATGAGCAAACTAGCCCAAACGAGATTAGCTGTGATACATAAGGATGGGGGGGGGATGGAATTGACAGAGATCTGTGCTGGAAAAGGAGGGGTGAGACACAGGCAGCTGCACAGAGCAATTCCCTGTTCTGCAGGGAACAACTCCAGCTACACTCGGCACAGGCAGTCCCCAGCGCATCTTGTTATGTCCATGTCTAGCCAGCACTGAATTCCCCCCCAGCAATTTCTACCATTCTTCACCCATACTAACTAATTTTACCAGATCAGACATGAACAGAAATGACCTCATGTAGGTAAAAAACCTGTCTCATGCAATAATAAAACACACAAGCACTCATGACCCCAAAATAACCCCGAACTACGGATAACATCGCTTGACTGTGGATTATGTTTCTCACTTTTCTGAGGGCCATAGGCACCCGGGACTCCAGAGCTGAACACCGCTGTTTCTAAAACCAAGGTTCAGGTTCAGAAAGGGGACTCTGCCTGACTGTAGAGCCACCATCTCCCCGGCCAGGATGTCTCTTAAGCCATAAAAACACAGCCACCCTTGGAACACAGGAGCAGCAGTGACATAGCTACGCTTGAAGACTTCTGGATGTAACAGGACCGGGATGCTTGTAAGTTAGGGTGGGAAGGGGAAAAGAGCAGGAAAGGAAACTTGTTAGAGAAAAGATCTGTCTTACCTCTCTGCCAGCTCCTCAGCAAGCACAGCTGACGCCTGCATGTACAAATCCTTCCCCAACCCCAGGTAAAGATCTCAGCACACAGAAAAGCAGGGGTGCTCTTGTTCTCCCCTGCAATGTCCCGAGCCCCCTCTGAGCAGCCCAGATCACCCTCCGTGAGGAGCCCCAGCCCTCCACGGCTCCTCCGAGTGCTTGGGGGTCTCTGGAACAGCCGCTGCACCCTGGAGCCGTTCCTGTGCCTCCTCTGCGCTCAGCGGGAGGAACAGCTGGAAGAGTGTCAGCACAACACGCTCCATAAATTTCCCCTCAGCCTTCTGCAGACGTAAGTCCTTGAGAAAAATGCCTAAGTCCTGTCCTTTGTTGACATAGTAACCACATTTGAGTTTTTGACCCCCTAAGAAGCCATCTGCATAAAGCAATTCATTATGAGAAAGATTTATCCAGCCTGGAACAGGCTGATTTATGTGGTTTTATTTGTCTAAGGAAGAAATAAAGAGGGTGAATGTTTATACACTAGAAAATTCACACCCAGACTAAGGGGTTGTTTCATTACAGTGGTTAATATTAAGGGCTTCCACAACTCTTCGAAGGAAGTGTATTACCAAGTAAAAGGGAAAAATCCATTATTCAGATAGGTGGCCCATTTCTAAGGGAAGTAAAACATTCAGAATTTTTAAGGAGGTTCCAAATTTTGTATTTTTCTCTAACTTCTTCACATACATGTATCGCATTCCTCCAGAGATGCTTGAAACATCTTCAAAGTTCCCAATAAAGTTTATAAAGCCAGAAGAAATTGCAGAGGGTCAAAACCAAGTTAAGCCTTGTGTAAGGCTTTGCTTCCCCAGTCCTATGGAGATGAGCTTTATGGAGATGAGCTCTTTAGTCTCCGGGAGCTTGAGGGGAGAGAGATAAAAGAGAATTGTGCTGCAGGGATCACGTGGGGTTTAATGGGTTTTAAGGCATACCCTCTTCCAAACTGCTGCCACCCTACGCAGATCTGCATTCAGATTTTAGCGCTTTACTGGTAATTCAGGCTGTGGGAGCAGCCCGGCAGCAGGGCCACAACCGTGCTGCCTTGCAGGGATTTTTGACCCCAGCTGCAAAACAATGAGGGTGGAGGGAAAAGTAACAAAATCCAAACCTAAGTACTTGGAGTTGAAAATAGCTTTCCAAGCAACATTTCAGTGTTTTAACTCAATGTTGCCTTATAAAAACTGCCTTATTTACAAATGTCTTTAAGGGCTTAATTGTGCATTGTTTACTATGGAAAACTTGTCTTTGAGCCAGGTTAAATATGTGCTTAAGCTTGGAAACAGCAGAACAGCATAAAGAGTGAGATATCTAGCATTTTGGAAGCTATAACTTTTTTTTCTCCAACCTTGAGATTCATGACAAGTGACCATAACCTTCCCCCAACACCCAGACATCATAATCTCCTTCGCACTATATTCCTGCTTCTCCACCCTTGCCCACAGAAACACCCCCAAAACAAAACAGTTCTTCATCCACATATTTTTCCTGGACGTTAGCTGAGAATCATTAGTTACTTCCTGAACGGTCATTTAAGTGGGAAAATTCATAGAATCATGGAATGGTTAGGGTTGGAGAAGACTTTAGAATCTTCTTGAGAGAAAGAAAAGAGGTCTAAATGTGCATTCACAACTCATGATTTTGGAAGTCTTACCGCTGGGAAGGTTTCATTAAACTTTTTCAAGGATAGATCCTGAAATACAGGTCCAGAATCAGTACATAATTGTCAGACTATCATCAGGCAATATCCTGACCCAACAGCAAATATACAAGTATTCTTTTAAATGTTGTAAATGTTTGGAGGAAATGGTAGCTATTATGAAGCATGTGAAGCTGTAGCACAAAACCACACTGCTGTGCAGTTTACACCTGCTGGGTATGTGAAGACAAAACCTTCCCAGCAGACAAGGTTTGGTTATGATTTTTAAATATTTTAAAATAACTCCAAAGGGTGCACTGCTGGGCCTCTGCCCTGCCTCCGAGTGAAGACCAAGGAAAAATGTGTTTATAGCTCTGGTGGCACTGAGGCAGGGCACAGGAGCTACACTTCCGAACAGGTCTTCTTCGGACTTGCTGTTGAGCTCAGTTTGACACTGCACCTGATGAGCTGGTAACCATGAGCTGCAGGCTCAAGGGGAATGTCACTTTCATCTTTTCCTTGCATCCCCTCCCACAATCTGTGTTTGTCTTGTGCCTCGCCAGTGCTGGGGCCACTGGGGCAATAGTTTCAGCAACTGATTGACTCGAAAACCAACCTACCCAAAAGTCATAATCTTCCATTTCATCACTGGTTAAGCTGACGTAGCTCCAGTTGTTCAATTGCTGGATGAAGAGTCAGGCAGTGCAGGCAGGTGGGTAGCAGTGCAGTGGGAATGCACAATAGCAGCCCCATGTACAGTAGATTATATGTAACATCAAATTCCTGTCTGAGCTTTTTTGTGTCTGTGTTTTTTGAGTCAAATGGGACAATGCTCTTCCCAGTCCATGCAGGGATTTGAGGAATATCAGCTGGCTGAGCTCAGAAAGTGTTTCAGGTCACTGAGGTACAGTACCTGTGATCTTCCACACGTGGTATATAAAATCAGAATTCTCATAAACTCAAAACCTCAACTTTGAACAATGTATTATCGTCTCTCAAAAAAGTTATAAAATAGATAAGATGTAAATCAATTGTATTTCTGTACACTGTGCATACCAAATGAATACTCTGCTGTTAAGAAGAATATACTAAAGTAACTTTGTTTTTTGTAAAGGGAGCCCAGTTTCCATGAAATAATAAGCTAGTAACTGAAAAAAAAACACAACCAAACAAGCAAGAGCCAAACACCACACAAAGCCAGAGTATTATATGCTCTATAACTTATTTTTAGCAGGAATCTAGAAACAACTTTGCTGGAGAATATACACAGCATAGTTTGCTCTAAGATTGCCTAGTTGTTTTCCTGAATCTGTTTTCCATCAAATTGTGAAGATACCCTGCTTGGACTATTTACTTAGAATTTACAATTAGGCTGTTTTATCATACATAGATAACTCAGAATTGTAGCAGTTTAGCAACATCAGTCACGGGATTTCAAGAGATAACAGAAAGTTGCACAAGCACACTTACTAGGCCTGAAGATGAACCACTATACTGATGATATAGCAGAAAAGTCCTGTATCCTTTTGTAATGGTGTTTTAGAAAGCAAAGGAGCAAAGGAACACAAGAAATGGGCTCTGGCCCAGAGCTGCAAGCACGAAGCATTAGCAGCTGCTTAGTGCTATGTTTGCAAATGTTCTGGTTCCTGTAGAAACACTTAATCCTTCCTGAATTCTGGCCGGCATTTATGGTTAAGTACAGACTATAAAAGACTGTTGTCAATTACCTGCTTCTTATCTGTATGCGCCATTTTGTGTGACAATGGATTTTGCTACATTTTTAAAGCTTAATTATTCGGGCCAGTATTCAGCATCTATTTACATTGCTATGGGCACCAAGGACCTATTTGCTGAGGGCAGGACAATGGGGTGGGGAAGTCTGGGTACAGCCTTAGCCATAGGGAGTGAAACAAAACAGGGAGAGTACAGAAACCTACAGAGCCCTTAATGCAAGTCATGCACTTTCTATAGGCATCTTTGAACTAGTTTATGGAATATAATACTGATTTACCTCTTTCAATGGGAATCTCAATGTCGTTTCAAAACTGCCTGCACGTTGTCAGAGCTGGGGCTGAGAACTCCTCTCCATTTCAGTGCTGACCTCCTTGACTTTCTGACTGTAACTTGAGTTTTACAGAATCATTTCCTTAGGATCCTACTCAGTCCATCCGGATGCAGTCCATAAAAGACCACAAAAAATTGAGGCAAACTTAAAAGGCAAAGCCCAGGATAAAAACACACAGCAAACAAACCAAGAAGCTTCATGTTCTACTCTTTCAAAGCTAAAGCTGAAAGTCCTGTTCACCTTGAAGGGATGCCCCTTACCCAAATTAGATCAAGAATCCAAGCTGTTTCACCTGCTCAAGCTTTCTAAACTTTGTACACGTACCCCTGTTCAGTGTGGTGTTTTGGGAAGTACCTTAGCATCAACTTATTGAAATTTATTGAATCTCAGTCCTAAATAACACAGTGGCGGATATGTCAGACAGCAAACAGATGCACCATGCCTGAAGAGGCAGGTGCTCTTTATTCATACTAGAGCAAATGCAATGTTTTTGCTGCCTACAGCTCTTGGTGATGAAGCTGTGCCATTTAACAGTAGCTGAAAGGGTTGTCCTCTGCTCAGCTCTTTATGCAGGAGCTGACGTTTGTCTGACTCCTTTCATTAGCTGGTTTATCTTAGTGAGCAGAAAAGTCTTCATTTGCTTCCTGTTGGATTGTTTTACCCTGTATTAACTCTCTGACCACAGAATCAAAACAAACATCAGTGCTGCTCCGAGGGAAAGGGCAGGATTGCGCCCAAGTGGGAAGGTGAGGGGGGCTGCCAGGCACTTTTTCACAGTAGTTATCTTTTAGCCCTGTTTAAATATACTGCGTCTCTGTACCCTTAGGCCACAGCCAGAGATGTTCAGGCCACTGATGAACCCTTCCCTGAGGATTACTGTCTCATAACTGCCAACAGGGTAGCATATTTTGTCCCTCCTCTTCTCAGCCTCAGAATGGTCAGGAAAAAAAAAATCAGTGAAAAACACTGAGGCTTGCACAGATCATTTTCACAGAACTGTGCCAGGAAGTGACAAAAGGAGCAATTACATCACTGCATCGGTGGGTAAGGTTTCACAAGGTGCACGCCTTAGTTAATGGCTTGCCACCACTTGAGTTTCCTCTTTCCCATCTGGGCAATGGTCTTCACCTGCACCTAATGACATCTCTGTTGTCCCTTTGCTGGCTTGATGAGTAAATTTAGTTCTCTCAACAGACACAAATTGTTCATTTCTTTTTCTTTCCTATTTTTACTACAGCCAGTGAGATGAACCAGCTCACACAGGCATGCCAGAGCATTCACAACATGCAGTCATGAGTCAGGACTATGCTTGGGTTGGGATGCATCCTGAAGGAAAGAAGGGGAAGAAGTGCTCAATGTACAATAACATATCAACATGGGTTAGCCGCAGCATCACGTTAACAATAGCTGTTATTGCTGTTTACTAGTTGAGTCTCAGATCTGTCCCAGCACATACTTTACAAGCCATGGTGAGTACGGATGGATGCTTTGCACAGCACAAATGGTTTTCTCAAGGAAAAGCTATTTCTTG